CCCCTGACCCCGCCCGTGCCGCCGGAGGGCGGGGCCTGGCCGGCGGGCCCGGGGCACACAGGGGACCCTCGGCCTCCCCACCGGTCCCGTCGTGAGCCAGGGCGCTGGACCTTGGAAAACCCGGCGCAGCACAGGGCTCGAGCGACCGCGCCCAAGGCCCCCGCTCCAGGAGTCCCCGTGCAGCCCAACCCCCTCTCCTGTCCACAACTCGGGCTCACCTGCCATTCTGGCCTGCTCGGCTCCAAGTGCCCGCCGAAAAGAGAGGGGCACGGGCCAATAGCCTCGGCTCCCCCACTTACCGGGGCTCCACCGGGCCCGCAGAAGAAGGGCCGGGTCGAGGCCGCGTTCCGACAATGACCGGGTGACCTTGGCTTCCTCACTTACCTCCCCCCCGCCCCCACCCCTGCTCTGGGAAGACCGGCTACTCCCCGTACAATCTGAGAAATGGGAAGAATCCCGCCTCCATTCGCGGGGCTATGGAGAGATGAGGGAGGAAATGGGTGTGGGTAACCCTAAGGCACAGAAACGGGAGAGGATGGACTCTTCAGGCCCTGCAAGGAGCGCTAGGTAGGGGGCCCCTTTGGAGGCCGAGCTGTGGGAGATTTAGCATGGCGGGACAAGCCGCCTGTAGCGAGAGATGACACTACTCCAGGAAGAACCACAGGACAAGGTTGACTGCTAGGAAAGGGGCAAGACCATTCCGAGGGAGCTCAGGGGCTGGGTCTGGGCTGTCTGCACTTGGAGAGCGGAGCCCAGCACTAGCTAGGATTGGCTCCTCCTCCCCACCTGCTCTGTGGGCGTTTGATGCGGATTAAGACTGAGAAGGTGTCCCTGAAAGTACCCCCTCCCCCATCCCAGACAGAAATGCCAACCTGCCCTGCCAGGGGGGCGAAAGAAGGGTGGGGGAAGGCCTGCTCCTCTCCAGCTGCCCTGGCCAGGGCTGAGCTCCCCTGCCGCTCTCGTTCCTGCCCTTCTTACCCTGTCCCCATCATGGCACTTTCCCTTCCATGCCTGCCTCCTGTTCTCACAGTCCTTCCCTGGCTTCCTTGCTCATCCACGGCTGCAGGAGTCTTCCTTGCCCATGATAGAGCCTCCGGGTCCTCCACCCATTGAAGGCCAGGGGGACAGCACCCCTGGGGCCTGTGAAACAGGGTTCCAGAGGAAAAGCGAAGGTCACCTGGGGATGACAATGGGGCTGCTTTGGGGCCCAAAGCTCTGTGTATGTTTTGAAGGAAACCCCAATTCAGGGGAGAAAGCTGAAGACCAGGTTGGCAAGAGAAATAGTTTGGGGCTCTTTGGGAAGTAACCTCCTGAGTCTTGTAGCCCACCAGCATGATCTTCACAACCCTTGTATGCAAAACGGTTGAAAAGGCACCACTCCCAGTGTGCGCACCGGGGTCGCTGGCTTCTGCTTCTCCCAGCTCCCCACTTCAGTTCTGGCGCCAGCAGCACCAGCCTGCTTCTAGTCTGCCAGGAACGCCTTTCCTCCCACTGCTGCACGCCTGGCACTCTTGCGCTCATTCTTCCCACACACTGCAGATGGCATCTCTACTGTGAGGTCTTGTGGGATCCTCCGACCCCACCCAAGTTGGCCATTCCATTCTCAGCACCGTCTGCAGAGACTGTAAACTCGGGGGCCTCTGTGTCTGGCGAAAGAGGGGAAGGACAAAGAGCAGAGTCTCTGGAGCATTCTGCCTGCTGCAGCTCTTGGCGGTACCCATAACAGCTCTTTGATCTTCAGCAAGTGACTTCTCTGCATCTCAGTTTCCTCACCTGTCAAATGGGAATGATGGTATAGCACCTTCCTCAAAAGGTTGTCAAGAAGGAGAATGAGATAATGACATAGCGTGCGCCTGGTGCTTACGTGTGAGCTTAGGTTGCCTGCTTACCTCCTCTCTCTTGGGGCCAGAGGCCTGGTCTTTTCCCATGTCCCCAGCGTCCAGCACAGAGCCTCAACAGCAGCAGGTCCTCACTAGATTTTTGGAGAGCTGAGGCGGGAGGACCTGGGATGAAGTGAGGAGCTGGAGTGAGGGTCAACCTCCAATTTACCATCATGATGTTGTCCCCAACTCTGAAGGTAGCTCTGGTCCCTGCTTCTTCACTGTGGGGAGGCTGAGTCTTGGGACACCAGCTTGCTCCAGACTCCTTGGCTTCCTCAGATGGCTCTCCAACTCCCCACATCATGGCTCCAGGCACTCCTGGGGACTGCAGCCCTCCTTTTCTTGCATCATTTGATTTTAGATCTTGGGCTGATTGATGCTCCCCCTACATTACTATGGGACGGGCTTGGCCACTGGCTCCACCACCTGGGCCAGGAATTGGGCAGTTTGGTACCCTCATGTGGCTTTCCTTTTCCAACCAAATTACAATGATTTTAACCTCCCCTAAGGTACTGTTCAGATCCTCATTATCTAATGCTGGAGAAGTGTACTGGTCTTCCCGTGAACCTTGAATCCCACTCCCTACCTACATCACATCCAACATTCACCCTTCTCTTTCGCCCTGCATTGGCAGTCTCTCCAAATGCAACTTGGCACATCAAAATCTCTCCTGTTTCCTGAGTGCCTATCATGTGTAAGACACTGTATTAAGGATTATAGGCAAACACAGCTCCAAAAGAGTGTATAATATGGTTGCTAAAAAACAATTCTTTTAAAAAGTGGCAAAAGGCAGTAAAAATTCTCAATACAGTGTGTGAGGACAGACCTTCCACCCGGAACTTGACCTATTTTCTAACCTGTCTCCATTTCTTTTTTTATTTCTAATTTTTATTTATTATTAGCATATTTATTTTTACAAATCATTATATTTCTTTATGCCCTTTGCCCAACCTATCACTTCCCAAACCTCCTCCCTCCCTCCCCCCATCTCTCGTATCCTTAGGTTTGTTCTCTCCTTCTGAAAGTTCAACATATTGTTGTAGTCTTTTCTTTCTTTCTTTCCTTCATTCCTTACTTCTTCTCTCCTTCCCTCCCCCCCCCCACCCCTTCTTTCCTTCCTGGCTGCCAGTTATGAGTGAAAACATGCAGTATTTATCTTTCTGTGCCTGGATTATTTCACTTAACATAATTTTCTTCAGTCTCATCCATGTTGCTGCAAATGGCAGAATTTCATTCTTTTTTATGGCTGAGTAGTATTCCACTGTGTATATATACCACATTTTCTTTATCTAGTCATCCGTCAAAGGACAAAATGGATTAAAGTCTTAAATGTAAGACCTGAAACCATAAAATCACTAAAGGAAAATATAGGGGAAACACTCCAGGTAATAGAACTGGGCAAAGACTTTATGAATAAGACCCCCAAAGCACAAGCAACCAAAGTAAAAATAAGCAAATGGGATTATGTCTTTCCTTTGCTGTAAGGAAATAATCAACAGAGTGGAAAGACAACCTATGGAATGGGAGAAAATATTTGCAAATTATACATCTGACAAGAGATTAATATCCAGAAGACACAAAGAACTCAAACAATTATACAGTAAAAAAACAGATAATCCAATCAAAAAATGGGCAAAGGAGATAGACATTTTTCAAAGGAAGATATATAAATGGCCAACAGGTACATGAAAAAATGGTCAGCATCACTAGTCATCAGGGAAACGCAAATCAAAACCACATTGAGATATTATCTCACGCCAGTTAGACTGGCCATTGTTAAAAAGACTGAGAATAACAAATGCTGGTTAGGATACAGGGAAAGGGGAACCATCTTACACTTTTGGTGGGACTGTAATTTAGTGCAGCTATCATGGAACACAGTATGGAGGTTCCTCAGACAATTATAGATACAACTACCACATGATCCAGCAATCCCACTACTGGGTATATATCCAAAAGAAGGGGAATCATCATGTCAATGGGATACATGCATTCCCATGTTCATTGCAGCTCTATTTACAATACCTGTCTCCATTTCTGATTCAGATCCCATTGGTCACAGGTGGTGTCATGGATATTTGACTAGTAGGGTCAAACAGGGCCCTGTGCTTAGAAGGGCTCTGAACACTTGTTTCAAGGCTTTGCTGTCACCATTTTGAAATTCTTAATAATTTTTAACATGAGAACTTCATTTTTATTTTGAGCTGGGCTTGAAAATTATGTAAGTGATCCTGCCCATCAGTGACATTCCCAGTATCCCTGATCCTATCCCTGGGATCACCCACCACTTTTCTTACTTCTCCCCTCCTCCCCTCTGCAAGCCTTGGCCAGTCCCTCTTTTCATCATCTTTCAGCCCCACCAATTCTGTCACATTGCCTCTCCCCAGTCCCATCCCTGAGCCTCATTCTTTGGCTTAGATGAGTGCCCTCTTCTAGCCACATCCACTAGCAGAGTTTTACTCTTTCTGTAACATTCATCCATTCCAGAATTGATCCCTTCTCTGAGCTCTACTGCCTCCTTTTCCTTTTGTCCTGACTGAGCCTCACTCTATTGCTGAGCCTACACATTGATCCTTATCCTATAAGAGACTCACTCCATCCCTGCACACTGATTAACCAATTAATCAGGTGTTATGGGCTGAATTGTGACCCCAAAATTCACATGTTGAAGTCCTCACCCCTCCACCTCAGAAAGAGACTGTGGAAATAGGGTCTTTAAGGTAAAATGAGGTCATCAGGGTGGGTCCTTATGCAGTGTGACTGGTATCCTTATAAGAAGAGTTTAGAACAGAGACACATAAGGGATGACTGCATGAGGACCAGGAAGAAGACGGCCATCTGCAAGCCAAGGAAACAGACGTCTGGAGAAACCAACCCTTCTGAAACCTTGATCTTGGACTTCCAGCCTCTACATTGTGAGACAATAAATATTTGCTGTTTAAGCCACCCAGTCTGTGGTACTTTGCCATAACAGCCTTAGCAAACTAATACTTCAAGTATTTACACTGTGATATTATGTACTAGAACCCAAGATTACAAAAGCCAAAAAATCAAACAAAAATCTTTACCCTCATGAGTATTACACAAAAAAACAAGAAGTAAAAGATACAGGATGCTTAATGATGATTGGTGTTATGGAGAGAAACGGAGCAGAGATTTTAAATAAGGTGCTGGAGAAGTCCCCACTGAGAAGATGACATTTGAGCTAAGACCCAAAGGAGGTGAGGGGCCATGCTGCTCCATGTTGAGAGATCCACAAGTGCAAGAGCTCTGGAAGCCAGGGCATGCCTAGCATGTTCTAAGGTCAGGAAAGAGAGGAGGTATGATAGGGGATGGGGTCAGGGAGGTCAAGATGGGGGTGGCAAGAGATCACGCAGGGCCTCATAGGCCATCAGAAGGCCTTTAGTTATTAGAGTAATGTGGAGA